CCATGGCAACGGAGAGATAGACACCTCCTCCACACCGCCACCCTGCTCCCATCCCTGACAGAAAACCAAGTCCAATGTGTGTCCAGCACAATGGGTGGGGCCAGATATTTGTTGGGACAGCCCCATGGTTGCCATGGCAGACATGAAGTCCTGAGCCGCTCCTGTGAGGGTCGCCTCGGCATGGATATTGAAGTCTCCCAGCACCAGAAGCCGTTGAGACTCCAACGCCAGGCTCGAGACTACCCCCGCTAGCTCAGGTAGGGAGACTGTAGTGCAGCGAGGTGGACGGTACACTAGCAGAATCCCTATTCTGTCCCGGTCACCCACCCTTAGGTGGACACATTCAAAATTTGTGGTCTGCGGGATGGGGCTCCTGGTCAGATGGATGGAATCTCTATAGACCACTGCAACCCCGCCTCCCCGTCCTCCGGATCTCGGTTGGTGCTGTACGGAGAAGCCTGGAGGACAAAGCTGGGAGATTCACGCCCCCAGCTTCATCCAACCAGGTCTCCGTAATGCACGCCAGATCTGCCCGCTCATCCAGGATTAAATCCTGGATAAAGGTCGTCTTTCCGTTGACAGATCTGGCGTTCAGCAGCACCACCTTCAATCCAGAGGGCCCGCTCACCTGGTTACACCAATTTACCTTAGGAGACCGATATAGGGTTATTAATGTAGATAAGCGGTCCGAATTAGGCCGAATTCGAGGTCTCCTTTTTCCGCATCTCCCCTTCCCCACCACGACCTCTATGGGGGCCCCTCGGCTAGTGGAACACCTCCCCTCCTCCATGCCGCAGTTCAAAACCAAGGTCTTAATTTCTATTTCACTGGTTGTTTGGTTTGTTGGCCCTTGCCAACTCCCCTGCTTCCATGAAGGACAATTTTAACTAACATAAACTTAACATTATTTCAGTGAAATTCCTCAGGGGTGATCCAGTACAACCCCCTTCTGCCATGTAGGAAAAGCACAAAGCACCCTTAGAAGATGGTAATCTAGCCTCTGTGGTAGTAATAGTAGTAATAGGCGCAACCCCGGGGGCCATCCAGTCCATGCAGCAAAAGCACAGTCAAAGCATCCCCCAAGCGGTGGGATGAAAATTGGGTTCTGAAACAAGGAAGGTGGGGAAAGAGTCTGCATGCACGGTCTTCATGGCAAGGGGGCATGGGGAAAGGGGTCTGGGTGGGGAGG